CTCCTATCACCTTTACTCCGGGAGGAGCTTTTACCAGCTTCCATGTATTGTTCTTCTCTATCGCTTTGATCTCAAGATTCATTGCCTCCCTCCATTTCTTTGATTTTACTGCTTGTTCATAAGACAACGGATCAGATTCAGAAATGAAGAGAGCGAAGTTTTGTACCTTATTATCCGAGAGCCCTTCTCCGCTGGTATAATCTTCTAAGTAAGCCGGAGTTCTTCTTCTTCGAGTTGGTAAGGTCGCGACATCACTAATAACATCATCACTGGAATTGGTGTCGTCATCTGTCTGATCTTGTGAGGCTGCTGCATCATTTGAGATGGTTTCGTCATTTTCGTGATTTCCTTCATCTTCATTTAGGGAAGCTTCATCTTCACTTTCCTCCCCTTGATTGTATGTCTGTTCATAGGCTTCTCCCCAGTCCAAAATGTCATGTTTTGTCTCTTTTGCTGTGCTTTTCCAATCCCATTTTTCACCTTCTTCAAACACTATATCCCTGCTGATTGTTACTTTCATTGTGCAAGGATCAATCATCTTGTACCCTTTTGATTCTTCACTGTAACCGATCAACACTTGCTTTTTGCTTCTTGCATCCAATTTTTGTCTCCTAGCATCAGGTATATGGACATTGCCAATGCATCAAAAGACCCTGAAATATTCAACATTAGGTATAAAACCACTCCAGCATTCTTCTGGAGTTTTATTTTTCAAAGAGGCAGTGGGACTTCTATTTAAAATATGGCAGGTCCATTTCACAGCATCTGGCCAAAGCTTTTTAGGCATCTTCTTCTCTTCGAGTAAACATCTCACCATGTCGAGAATTATTCGGTTTTTACGCTCGGCAACTCCGTTTTGCTGAGGCGTATATGCCGTAGTCAGCTGTCTTTTGATCCCTTGTGATTTGCAAAAATCTGTGAATTCTTTTGAGTTGAATTCTCCTCCTCTATCTGTTCTCAAACTACATAAGGATAAGCCAGACTCCTTTTCCACCATTATTTTGAACATTTTGAAAGTAAAAAATGTTTCACTCTTCTCATTCAGAAAATACACCCATAATTTCCGACTAAAATCATCAATGAATGTTAGCAAATACCTTTTTTTGCTGTAAGATGCAGGTGAGATAGGACCGCAAATATCGGAGTGAATGAGTTGTAGTTGCTTTATGGCTCTCCACTTGCTCTTCTTTGGTATAACTTTTCTGTGTTGTTTCCCTTGCATACAGCTTGTGCACTTCTTTGTTAGTGATTTGATGTTTGGAAGCTCCTTAACCATCTTCTTATTATGCAGCAAGGCAAGACCTTTATAGCTCAAGTGCCCATATCGTTTGTGCCAAATTTCACTTGCCTCTTCATCATATGTATTAAAGCATGCTGAATTTGCAATGAGAATGTTTGTGATGACTACAAACATTCTATTTGCCGTCATTATGCTTTCCATTATAAGTCCCCGAGTTGGATGGTACAACTTGCATGCTCCATTCTTTATCAGTATAGTAATGCCTTTGTCTTGCAATTGACCTACACTGAGCAAATTGTTACGCAACTCAGGTATGAAATACACATTACTTACAATTTGAACTTGACCTCCAAACTCTAGCTTTATGCTTCCTTTCCCCATCACCATCAATTTTGAGTCATTCCCCAGTTTTATCGAATGCTTGAACCCTTCATCAAGATGCATGAACCACTCCTTGTTTCCGGACATGTGATTTGAGCATCCGGAGTCAAGAAACCATATTCCTTCCTTTTTGTTCTGCTTGAGATCTACATGTGCCATTAGAAGCATTTCATCTTCATCATTGATTTCAGCATAGTGAGCTCTCTTCTCCCAATTTGTACATTCGTATTGATAATGCTCCAAATTGTGGCACCTATAGCATTCCACAATAGACTTATCAAAAAACGGTCTTCCTCTTCCTCTTCCTCTTCCTCTAGTTACGCCTCTGCCTCTTCCACCTCGAGCTTCATATGTCACTTTTAAGGCTTGTTCTTCTTCAACTGGGCCTCTCATTCTCTGCTCATGGATTAAGAGACTACTTTGGAGTTCATCCACAGTTAGTGTATCAACATTATTTGATTCTTCAATAGAACACATAACATAATTAAATTTGGAAACTAAAGAACGTAGGATCTTTCCTGTGATGTCTGCTTCTTTCATATTTTCTCCACATGCCTTCATCTTCTTGGCAATGGAGAGTGTTCTTCCGAAGTAAGCATTGACGGTCTCCCCTTCCTTCATTCTTAAGGTTTCGAACTCAGTCTTAAGAGCTTGAAGTTGTGCTCTCTTGACTCTAGTTGATCCCTTGAATTTCTGCTTCATTGAATCCCATATTTGCTTGGATGTGTCATCGTTAAGAATGGTCTCCAAGATTTCTCTATCTATAGCTTGATAGAGATAGTTCTTCACTTTCTTATCCTTCAATTCCTGTTCTCCTATGAATTTTGCCTCTGCTTCTGATGGCTCTTTCCCCTCTGGAATCACAGTAATTCCATCTTCTACAAGACTCCAGAATTCCTTTGCTCGAAGGAAGTTCTCCATCAATTTGGCCCAATGCTCATAATAGCCATCAAATTTAGGGATGGCTGGCTGCACAAACGTACTGTTGGTGATGCTGCTCTCTGCCATTCTTTCTCCCTCTTCTCACGTGTTTCACTCAAAGAACACCTCTACTTTCTCTCTCAATCAGGCATGTCTGACAAACTCTGATGCCAATTGTTAATCATGAACACAATAGAAAATTGCACAAATGCAATTGTATTTGTTATTCTGAAAGTAACCAACTGAAGCTATTAAATAGCTTTACAAAGAAACTGAAAATCTAAACTAAAGCCACTTCTCCCATAAACTTAGAAAACGTGAACTGAAAACAAGAATGAGTCAAATGTAAAACTAATTCTATCATGTCCTATTTTATAGGAACTTATTGGAATAAACTACTAATGAGAAAATACTAACAATCCTTCCCAACGAAAATCTCTTCAAATCACAGCATTTGATTTCACCGGTCTAGACAGTTTTAATTCATAGCAGTGGTTATTCATCATTCTCATCGAGTTTTGGTATTATCGTTTGCTGTTCAGTTTTTTGGTAGCGTGTTTGGGGGCAGTCTTGTTGAATTGTCATCCTTATATTTTGAATCTACTTTAGTTGCAAATATCTTTGGTTTGCTTTGGTTTGCAGCAGGACTAAGAGTAGTGAAACTGATTTTGGGCAATGATTCCTTATACTGTAGCCATTTTACAAAAAACAAGTAAGAAAATCCAGAATATTCATCATTGAATCCGATCACAAATTCGTTTCATTCACTTTTTCATTCACTTTTTTATCCAAACATGTCCTTAGTGTTTTACAATAGTAGCTTCTTTTTTTCTTCTGGTGTTGAACCATATAACAGGAATATGTAGTTGTTGGAAGATTATATCCATCACTAAGAGGTTACAATATTTATCCAAACCAAAAAGTTCTATTCTCAGGGATAATGAACATTTTCACATCATTCACTTATTGATGTGTTGCATCAGGTCAATTCTTATTGTTATTTTCTAAAATTACTTTACAAAAAATTTGATTGAAGTTGATTATGGGTAGCTTATAATGCAGGTCATATTGCTCGTATGCATGTAAATTATGACGCTGGCTCACAAACAATTATGTGAATGCTCTTTTTTATCTCAATGTCTATGATTTGATCGATGTTTGTGGCTTATTAGAATAACTAGGAGGACTATCTTCTTAGAATAAATTTTCTTCCTAATGACCTTGCCACATATTTTCTCACTAATGATCTTGCCACAAATCTTACTATTAGAAGTAACAATATTTTAATCAGAATTTGTATAATTCTTCTTCGGATGCTTCGTCGCTGTTGTTTATAAATAACTGGTTTTGATTGTTGTTGGCAGTAAATATGAGTAGATTTATGCACCTCGTATGGAGGAATTTTGTTATATAACTAATAACACATGCTTCAAGGAAGAGGTTTGTGTTGAATTATTTGGTGCAGTTAAATTGTTTTGTTCACACTATTTGAAACTTACAATTCTTAAGCAAATAATTTCATGCAGGTTTTGCAGAATGAATCTACAGCTTACACTTTTTGAAATTTGAAATGATTGCCCCAACAATTAAATTCTTCTTGAGAAGGGCTACTGTTTCTTGTATCATTAACTACTGCTTCTTCAACACCATAAATGGCTAGGAGAAACCAATTTCTAAACATCCTTAGAATTACTTATTCTGTATGTACAATTTCAAGAAAGTTTGTGTTAGCTAAGTTAACCAAAATAGACAATGTACTTACAAGATACATGCACATTATCAGATATGAAATTTCACTATCCATTTCCTTATATTTCAAATTGCTTTGTAATATCAATTGAGTTTTTCTTTTGATGAAATCAGCCTCCAAATTTGGCATGAGAATCTAAGACAAAGTGTCAGTGGAATTGTTAATAGTGACATAAACCAAAGTTCAACTTTTCTTTGTTTTCAATTCTTTGACTTCTTGGTTATTAATTAAGGAAAACAATTATAAGTTAATTTTATTTAGTTTTGTGATCCACATCTCAGACTTCATATGTTGCTAGTTTTGAGAGGAATGCGATTGAACAAAAAGGAAGACTCTGTCCCTTTCTAGGTCACACTAGAGAAAAACAGTGCAACACTATTTCCTTAAGAGAATATATGTGTTCCAATTGAACTCTTTCAAATATTAGCAGATTCTTTCATTCTTTCACACAATTACATTAAGTTTATATTGTATATAATTTTTTATATCATAGCATTATACTTAAAATTAATGGAGGAGTCGGTAGAAAATTGTCCTTCTGATTTGGTAAAACCAATTGTACATAGTATATATATTATTAAGAATATAATTATGATCATATCAGGTACTATGTCTGTATATAACTCTCATTTGTTTGTTATTTTCAGTTTTTTATAGGAAAAAATGATGACATAATTTTGGAAGATGGAAAATTTGTATATGTGTGTGATGAGAAGGAAAACTCATAGAAAAATTGTTGGCACTTTCAGCAGTCATAGTTATGAAGAAGGTTTGTAATTGATTTATATTTAGTTGAAATACTTGTACTAAAATGAATAATATAATTTCAGTGTGTGTGGCTAGCTTTTTATATAGACGAAGTTGTGTTATTTTTACTTTTTAAAATTTAATTCGGTTATACTTATGAGTTTATGAGCTTAAGGGGTAAAAATATAAGATTGGAAAAATTGGTGTATAAAAATTCTATAAAACTAATTATAAATGGTTTTTAATAAATAAGTTAATAAAATATTGCTCGTGGCACATAAACCTTCTTTTTTCCTATAATATAGACAACATGCAATAGAAGATGTAGCAAAGTGTAGTACTGATTCAGATGGATAGAAGAAGATATTAGTGTCATAATTCTACGTGTCATGTATTTTTTTTCCAATTCATTTGCATGATTTGTCTTCTGACTGGCTATAAAGATCATTTGAAGCTTTATACAGGGTCATGCAATGTGTAATGCCAAGACAAAGTTGAGTTTAACTTTTGTTGATTTCTTTTGTAGAAAATAAAATTGAGCCACATATACGGTTCTAACAAAGCATTATGTAGTCACATATTGAGTTTAAGGTTTATACGGTTCTAACAAAGTATTATGTAGCACTACATGTGGTATTGATTTTAATTGATGATTTTTTTATTGAGCCACATAAACCACTCAATGTATAAAGTTTGGGATAAAATTATGGCAATATTTTTTTCTCACCACATGTGTCAATTTTTTCTTACACTATCAAAAAGATGGTTACGCCTACATAATTTGAGAAACATTTTTGCCTATTTCTCTACTTTCTAATTCAATTATAACAAAAAATATAAAGTATTGACAAAACATGTTTAACTTAATCATAAAAGATGTTTAATAGAAAGAAAGGAAGAAAAAAAAGTTTTAAAAGGGGGAAAAACACATCATCATCGTATTATAACTAGAAGACTTATGTTTTTGACAACCCACTTCTATTTTGGTCCACATAGATAAAAGCAATGACAACAAGACTCGCATGTCTTACAATTTGAAAGGCGTGTTACTACTTCATAACCTTCAATTTCGCTGTGCCGCCAAACAGATAATTCTCAATTCTCAACGGCCTCACCCCCAAATCACCACCGCTCTCCGCCACCTTCCCGGTCATTTTCCTTTCAATCCGCCTCTTCTTGTTAATCAGAGAAACCCTAAAAGTAGAATCAGATTCCCCTGCTTAATCTCTATCTCTTCTTCTTTGTTCTAAGGGTTTTATACTTACACTTTCAAATTCTCATGCCATTATCTCTTCAAAAACCCACCAATCTCCCCCACTCCAAATCATGGAACCTTCTCAGAACCCACCCCACATCAAAACAACCAAAACCCACTTATAAAAATCTGATTTTTAAAAGAGTTCAAGTTTTTTCATCTCTTAGAACTTCCCTTGACTGTGTCTCTTCTGATGGAGGACTTGAGAAGGGTTTGCAACCGATTCGGTTACCCTTTGTGGTTAGGAGTTCTACGAATGTCACTAGATTCTTCTGGAATGGTGCCTGCTTGGAGATGGTTGTTGTTGATGGTGGTTCTGGTTCTTCTGGTGAGGATGGGTTGGTGAGGGTGGTTGCTTCTGTTGTTAGGGACTTTTTTATTCCGAGAGATGTTACTGAGAATTATATGGAGTATGTGAAATGGAAGCTGATTCATCGTGTTTTTAGCTCTGCACTTCAAGTTCTTGCTACTCAGGTGATTTGTAGATTGTTTTTTTTTTTTTTTTTAATTCTGAAGCTAAGCTAGTGTTCTTGGGGTTGTAGTTTATTTGAATTGAAACTGTAGGTGGGTTTTGGTTTTTCATATGATTTGTTTTTGTTTCATGTTGTGTGGTGGATTGTTTGATTTATAGAAATTGATGATCAATTTTTTTGGGTGGGAAAACTCAAATTTTGTTTATCTGTCTATCGTCATACTCTGGGAGATAGATATAGAAGTTGTTGCATGTCATGTTATGTGATGAATTTGTTTGTTTTTGGATTGATTATTTATGAGCAATTTTCCGTGTTTTGTGAACATCATGAGGGGGTGGAATTGTTGTGTCATGTTCTGCAATGGATTCGTTTATTTATGGACCTTTTCTACAACTTCGGCGGGGAATGCGGGAGACCGTATGATGACCACTAACTGGAGGCAGCAGCCCCTGGCGTGGATCCAGTGTGGAGCTCCAGGGAAGAATTACACTGTAACTTAGGTGCTTTAGTGGAGTGAGTACTAATGATTGGGCTTCCTCCTTTTGGTGGCCGACCCATAATAGTTGTCCCAAGCCATGGCGCAGCAATGGAAAGTCTTTAAGAAACTAGGTTGAGTTTGGAGGTTGTCATGCCGGGTCCATCGCTTGGAGAAGTGGGAAAGATTTGAGAGCCGGCGTGACTGACCTTGGGAACAACCGCATTAAATGCTAGTTCGTTAGACCTTCTCAATAAAAATAAATATATGGTTTTTCACTAACGAAATAGTGCTTTTAAGCTTAGAGATGTTTTTACTTCTGAAATTTTGAAATGCGACAACTAATTTCAACTTGTATGAGAAGCTATTGCTCAAGAGCTCATGATTATTGTAAGAAGTTTTTAGTATTTCTTGTTCCATTAGTGCTTCTTTTTGAAGATTATCCGAACTTGCTCTTTGTATACTTTGTATACTTACCAGTCATCGCTGGATGCATCATGGATGTATTGCACTTTGTCTTCACCATTAAGCTACATTGAAGTTCTTTGAGGTCTTGTTTTGTTTGTTCATCTTGGACAAGAACTTACTATGTTACAATCAATTAATCTCAGGCAATGTTTACAGCCATAGGAGTTGGATACTCTAGTTCTCTTCCATCAGCTGCTGCGCTTAATTGGGTCTTAAAAGACGGTCTTGGACGGTTAAGCCGATGCATATACACTGCTAGCCTAGCTTCTGCTTTTGATACTAATTTAAAGGTACTTTTACTTTCAAAGAAATCAATTTTCCTATATCGGCTCTCAACAGTTTCTGCTTATGCCAGCACTAGATTGGCATTTAATTAAAAAAAAAGTCACATGAACAACCAAAGTTCAATGATGTGAAGTACATGATGGTAATTGAAACTTCATTTAACGCACACTAATAATAAATGAAATCTGATTAGTCTTTGTTTGCGCGTTTGTGTACCTGTTGTATATAGAGGGTCAGGTTCGCCACATCTGTTCTTTTTGTTGGAAGTATTGGACTTGAGTTACTCACTCCTGCATTTCCTCGATTATTCCTGCTGCTTGCAACCATTGCCAATATTGCCAAACAAATAAGCCTGGCATGCTACTTAGCAACTCGGGTAAGGATCAAACCTGAAACGTATTAAGTTCTCTATTACATCATTTCTTTTTAAAAAAGCTTTCATTTTTTAGAGCTATTCACATGACATAATTCTTTATAATTGATGAGCTTCTTTCCTATGAATTTTGATATTTTTCATTATGTCTATGCAGTCAGCTGTTCATCAAAGTTTTGCAAAAGCAGACAACCTTGGTGAAATTTCTGCCAAGGCACAGGTTAGCATGAGTAGTTTTTCTTTTTTGTTTTTACTTTATTTAAATATGTATGTTCGTGGATTTTATAATGAATATCTATTATATTTCAGATTCAAACAGTGTGCTTTGACATCCTCGGTCTCATGCTTGCTGCCCTGGTTAACATGTGGCTTGCAAGACCACAAACAGGTCTCCATTTCTTTGTTTATCCCTTTTTTGCATCTATGGACCTTTTCGGGATTTATCAAGGACTAAAGCATGTCCATCTGCAAACCTTGACTAAGGTAGGTTTTCTGACGGCTTTTATTAAGAAGTTGTGTACAAATTAGTGATCTTCTAGTTTTATACTTAAGAGACTGAAACTCGGTGATTTTGGAAGAAATGAAACGCGTTGCTCTTCATTATCTATTTTGATATAATGCACGTGTGTTTGCTTTATGCTGTAGGACTCATCGAGAGTGTGTGTTTTACTGTCTTGTTGGTGTATTATTGTTTTAGGATAGGCTTGAAATCATTATGAGCACTTGGATTGAAAATGGATATGTGCCTTCCCCGGCAGAGGTGAGCGAGAAAGAAGTAATTGACTTTTTGGGAGTTAAAGGTGATATGCTAGCAACTCTTATATTCATGTTTAATACTCCCACTGGTTCTATTTATAAGAAAAAGTTTACTTTTTAGATACTTTGAATAACTAATGTACTTGGACAATATATAAACTAGATACATTGGTTATTTAATGAATTTAAAACGGAAACTTTTTCTTATAAATAAGACCAGAGGAGCACCTTTCATGGTGTACGTTTATAGTCAACTAATGAGATTTGATTCAGGTACAAGCTCGTGGCCAATTAGAATAGGGTGCATAAATCCCAAGGACCAAATACCAGAGTGGTCAATGAAGATGATACAAAGCATAACTGACGAGGACTATTACTTTGTATGCATGGAGGTCTTCAAAGGATTAAAAAGAACTCGACAGGTGAGGGTAATAATGAGATTATCTTGGTGGATTATTCTTCCTCTTTCAACTTTCTATAAACTAGTTTTGTATTCTTATTGCTTCTATTTTGCTTTTTTTGTGTGGTGATTTTCTAGCATCGTATTCTTCTTTCCATCCGCGAAGGAGCCGAGGCAGTGCATATAATTACGGGTTTGTTGCAGGTGATAAGACTATTCTTCCTAATAATTTTTCAACTAATATCATCAATATTATGAACCATTACCACTAGCTAATTTCAATCCTCTCATGTTCCTTGTGTCAATCTCATATTATGTTAGAGAATTACGCCAAATTTCTGTTTGGATAAACAACTTAATTAAACGCTTAAAACACAAGCGCTTATTAGACATGTGTTTATATAAAAGCTATTTTGATTTCAATTTGTAGGCTTGCTACATCAGAAAGGCTCTTGTGAACAATGCATCAAACTCGGCACTTGAGGATTGGCCGATAATTTTCGAGGATTGCAAGAGACGTGCAGAAAGGGATATAGGTCATTTGATTGAACAAATGATGGGAATAGGTTGGGTGGTGAAGAACATTTTGTTGTCAAAGCAAGAGCAAGCTAGATACAATTTTGTGTGTGAATAAAGATGGTTTTCAAATTTTGGTTGGCTCCTTAGCATCATGGGAGTGTTTGGGGTTTTACTATTTCTTTTAAAGATTAACCATCCTAACTGTTTATAAAAAAGAGTGTAGAAATTTTATTGTTATCATGTTCATATTCATATTCATGATTTGTCATTTATTTTAACACATCCAAACTGAAACACTTTGATTCAAGAATGAATATTAGCTACATTCTCACTAAATAGTTTTCTATAAATACACGACCTGTATTTGCGACCCAATGTGTTTCTCAATACCATATTTTAATGGGAGGTGGCAAACTGTTTGACAAGTAATTTTCGACCAACCAGGGAAGTATGCCCTCAAGCCGTAGGATATCTTTGGTTAGAAAGACATGTTTTAAAGAATAATGGAATGTGTCGATCAAGTCAAAGAAGTATTTAACTAGGAAGGCTGGTCGACGAAGACACTAGTGTCGGAGGCAGTCGAAAATAGATATGAATGTCGACAAACAATGATAAGTGGCAGCAAGAACAGTTATCAACTCACAAGCCAACAAGAACGTGAGGATGTTCCAAAGCAGTTTATGACAATTCTCCATGAATCTCAACGTGGAACTAGTAACTGTCGACGGTTACACTTTTAGGATTTCTATTTAAGCAAACGTTTGTATTTTTGTTAAAAGTCGTATTTCTTCACATTTAGAGCATTACATTCAATGTACCTGCACATCTAAGAGAGCAACAAGTTCCGTCTTAATAATGTATGAATGCTTTCACATTTCAATTCAAAGCAATTTTCAATTCACTTTAAATTACAAGTCTAGTCATTTATTTTCTTTACTTTGCAATTGTCTTTTACTTTTGCCTTTTTATACCTATGAATTCTATATTAACTAGTTTTCAATCCAAAACACTCAAAACACTAAGTTTAGGATTATTGTAGTTGATCATGCATGTAACCTTTAATAAAAGGCTAGAGATTGTTCGCGAAAAATAAATTGACACACCTAGTAGGACACGTTGTGTTTGGGTCTTTCTCGTTTCGTGCATGAAATTGAGAAGTGAGAGAAGAATGGTAGATCCTAGAACTCCTAAAAGGGATCAAACCCTAGGAAGAAATACCAGTGCTGCGACAAGTATGGTTTCAAGTTTTGTGGTTGTGTCTTCGACTGTCCCGAACATAGCCACCACACCCAGCCAATAACTGCAAGACCAACAACGGTCACGACTTCTAGGCAATATGTGTCTAGTTTTGCGAGAGAGACACATAATGGTGTGGTTCCAACCTTTGGGAAGTATGTGCCTAGTTTTGCAAGAGATACGCATAATATTGAACACGAATATGGGATGCCAACGACGATGATGGCAGACCTACATAGTAGTAGTTCGATATTTGGTGAAAATCCTGTGTCGGCGTTTTCACCGTATAATGCCTCTGGGTCATTGGGAAATCAATTTGGTCGCTCGACTGGATTGAGATTTTCCCACCAAATGATGTCTAATTTAACCCCAAGTATCGTTGCCATCATGAGGCAGTAGTACTCAACAGATGAGTGCCATGTTAAGACCATTGATCGAGAATTAGGTGCAGAGTTATCAGACTTTAGCAACGCAGATTGAATAAAAATTGCAATCCAAAATGCAGTAGAAAATTAAATTTTTCCTTAGTGATCCTTACGAATGGGCATGGTCAGTGATAGAAATCATTACCCCTTGTGGTGATTCAGACCTTTGATGTTGTGATCACTTGATGAATAGCAACGTCTCTACTCATCCCATACGAACATATCACTTTTGGTCATAGTGCTAGCTGCTTACGAACAAAAATTTTAAGTGAGAGAGTGAGACAAAATATGGATAGGGTTTCAAGAACTAAATTTCATCAAGTGAAATGCTTCAACACAAGGGTTATATTTATAGAACCACTTATGTGGGTTGCAAGCTAAAAACCTAATTAAGGCTACAAGTTAAAAGTCCAATTAAGCCTACGAGTTTCATACCTTATGATATACCACATATCACTTAAGTGCGTGGTACCTTACCACATTCCATATTTCACTTAAGTGTATCGTACCTTACGGTGTTCTACAATTCACTTAAGTGCATTGTACCTTACGATGTTATTTATTTAATCTATCTCTCATCAATCTGTTCTTATGTGTGTGACCCTATAGATTTTTGTGACGTTGACAATTATATTAAATCACACATTTAACATAATAAACAGTGAGCAGTATCTAGCAACACATCACTGCTATCCAAGTCACAAAAATATCATGTGATCTGACAAAACCTTTCTGTGATAATATTTGTGTGTACAATTACGCTTTTACTCTTATGTCTAATTGAACACGAGGCATAGACCGTGTCATCCTTGTCCAATTCAATATTGGGCCCTTAGACATTTATCCTATTATGCAGGATGAGAAAATTCCATCTAGGTCACTCATGTCCCTCAGCATGCTTTGTGAAGTACTCATCAACTGTCTTTATGGTCATCCAGTTATGAATAATGTTTGATCATCAATAAAGTACTTAACTCTACATCTAGGGTCCATAGTGGTTTCAGGTTGAAGGGTGGTATACATAATTATCACCATGGGAATAACTTATGACACCTTGTATAACATTCTATGTAGTATTCTCATAGCGGGTCAATCCAGTATAAATATTACTCCTAATATTCATACCTATGTCAAGACTTGATAACTCATTATCCATGATCCATGAGGTGTGATCATCAGTCAATCTTCATAATAATCTCAATGCTTCAATGTTATCCCACTTTTCAATAAAGCTCGACTACGAATACTTTAAAAATAGTATTCTTATGTTTAATGGGATCTCATGATTAAGTCACACTTAACATTTCATTAAACAGGCGAACTATTCTCGGGACTTTATTATTTTAGAAAAGCAAACATAATAAAGAAATGCCTTTTATTATTAATAAATAATTTGATACAAGTACAAAAGTATTGATCTAATTTACACCAACAATCTCCCACTAGCACTAGAGTCAACCAGGCATACCTCATAATACCCATAGATCTAGTATGGCCATCATGCTTCTACTGCGCAAGAGGCTTTGTTAGTGGGTCAACAACATTTTCAAGAAGGTCTCAAATTCCAGAAGGGGATTGTGATGAGACTTTCATCCTTGTGGTGAAACCTAGAGCCATTCACACTATTCTCATAATTATTCTCTCCAAGTTCTGGTCCATTCATAAGTTAGATGTTTAGAATGCCTTTCTACACAGTGATCTTCATGAAACTATCTATATGCATAAACCATTGGGTTTCCGTGATCTTCATCACTCAAATTATGTGTGTCGCTTGCAAAAATCTCTATATGGTTTGAAACCAGTGCCTCGTGCATGGTGCCCGCGTTTCATTGACTATGTCCCAATATTGGATTTCAGCACAACACATCAGACAACCCTCTCTTCATCTATCGGCATGGCTCTGACATGGTTTACATCTTACTTTATGTTGATGACATCACCCTCACCAGTTCCTTTCATGACCTACACAAAACTATCATGACGTTTCTTGCCTTCGAGTTTGCTATGAAGGATATGGAACCACTGAGCTATTTTTTGGGCATTGTAGTGACCAAACATGCAGATGAACTTTTCCTTCAACGGAATATCTATGTAAGTGACATTGATGCTCGAGCCAGTACGACCTAATGCAAACCTTTTGCTACTCCAGTTGACACCAAACAAAAGTTCAGTACCTCCGTTGACACTCCATATGACTATCCTACCTTATATCAGAGTCTTGTCTGTGCTTTACAATATCTCACATTTATCCATCTTGACTTCTCTTATGATGTCCAGTAGGTGTGTCTTCACATGCACGCATGATGCACCGAGTACATGCTTGCATTGAAGCACATCTTGTGTTATATTCAGGGAACCTTACAATATGATTTGCATCTCTATCCTTCTCCTATCGAGAATCTTGTTTCCTACAAAGTTGTTGATTATGAAGAATGTCCCGACACCTGTCGATCTACTTCTAGTTATTGTATTTTTCTTGGTGATAACCTAATTTCACGGTCTTCTAAGAGATAACTTACGCTTTCTCATTCAGGCTGAGTACCATGTGTTGTTAATGTAGTTTCATAATCTTGTTGGCTCCACAATATTGTCTTGGAGCTTCATTCTCCCCTTTCTCAGGCTACTGTGATGTACTTTGATAATGTTAGTGCTATATACTTATTCGATAATCCTGTCCAACATCAGCGTATTAAACACATTGAGATGAATATTTACTTTGTTCGAGAGAAGGTCGCTTGTGGTTAGACTCGTATTCTTCGTGTTCCTTCCTGTGATACGGTGGGAGAACTGACTTGAGTTTTGCGTTTGTTTTCGCACTTGTTCGGTTTAGCAAGAGTCGCCACCGACTTTTTATTTTATCCTAAAGGAAAGGTTAAAAAGCACAGGAAAAACCTTTTGAGATGTTTCGTGGGTTCGGGGGGTAGATTATGAAAAGGGAAGGTATTAGCACCCTTTTCATCCATGGTTAAGCATGGGCTCTTAGTTACTTGGTTTTAGATCACTTGCCTTTGATTTTTTTCGATTGCTTTGAAATTGTGGTGTGTGTGTTTGAAAATGTTTTGAAATAGACGCCTTTGTTTTGGCAACCGTTGTAATGACTCGTGTTTGAGTATATACGAAGGTGTGTATCTTTTCGAAAAGATGTTTCAAATGTTTTTTGAAAGTTTGTTTTGAAAGTGTTGTGGAATGTGGTTTGAAAAGTAGGCAAGTGTTTTTGCAAGTTGATCAAGTAACTAAGAGTTTGTCTACCCCTAATTTTACTCAAAGGTTTTTCTCATGTCTTAACCCTTTTTAACAATTTTGTTCCACCATTGTATTTGGTGGACAATCTTGCGTTTAGGATGTTTAACGGGACAGGCGCGGGTCATCGTATGGACCATGAATGCAATGATGCCAAGTGTCTTTGGCAGTTTGCTTGAAGGGACTTGATCATTTTGATAGGCGACTTTCGAAA